TTGGCTAATTACTTGAATAAAAGGGGGAAAGGAAAAGGTTACAGGAGGAGGAAGAGTAGGAGAAAGAGGAAGCAATTGTTAAAAATATTGGGGGGTTCAATCAAGGGCAATGTAGTCAAGAGGAATTACCAAAACCTGAATGAAGGCCCAACATGATAATTGGACAAGAGGAAAGTAAAAGGAAATAGAGGAATGAACTGGGAGGCAAAGGGCATTTAAAGAGGTCTAAATACAGGCATTTATATATGTAAATACATTTATATAAAATGACAGGGGAATAGATCTATGTACATATATTTATTTATAAAGTATTATGGCAGCAGATGACATTAAGACTCCACGCAAGTACTCCCTCAATGCAAGAACACTTTGTTCTACTAACATGGCACTCCGTGATGTTCACCTTCCCTGACACAATTGTTGAAGACAAAATGGGTGCATAAGCAAATGTGGTGAAGAAAGCTGATGGTGCCCAGCTATCAAAAGATATAGTGTCTGAGGTCTTAAAGGCATGAAGATAAATCAGTGGCCATCTAGCTGAGAAGCAACAAAGCCCACATGGAAGTGTTGATGGGATCAGGTATCAGGCATCAAAGACCCAAAACAAACAAGTAAGCAAACAAAAAGCATATCAATGGGAATGAGGAGGAGGGCAGAGTGTAGACCTGAAGCCCATTAGTAGTCAATTGTACACCCCCTGTGGGAAGGGCCACAAGGAAGAGATGAGCTAGTCAGGGTGCAGCACAGCACCGATGAAACACAACCTTCCTATAGTTCTTTAATGCTCCTGCCTCCCACTACCATGACCCCAATTCTAGCTTACAAATCTGGCTAGACCAGAACATGTATACTAGTACTGATAAGAGCTCACAACATAGGGAATCCAGAACAGATAAACCCCTCAGGACCAATAAGGGGAACAGCGATACTAGGAGGGTAAGGATTGCAGGGGTGGGGGTGGGGGCGGGAGTAAGGGGGAATCGATCACAATGATCGATGTATGGCCCTCCTCCCAGGAGGATGGACAGTAGAAAAGTGGGTGAAATGAGACAGTGGTTGGTGTAAGACATGAAAAAGAAAAATAAGAATAATTTATAAAGTATCAAGGGGACATGGGGAAGGGAGGGGAAAATGAGGAGCTGACGTCAGGGGCTCAAGTAGAAAGAAAATGTTTTGAAAAAGATGATGACAACATATGTACAGATGTGATAAGAGCTGTAAGGGCCCCCAACAAAATAAAAAATTATATATATTGGACTTTTTTCAATTGTCTCTTGATCTTCTTAAAAACATTGAAAGGTTTAAAAAAAAAAGACAATGAAAGGTAATATTCTCCAGCCATAATGAAAAATACAGTTCTGAAACATGCTGTGTTAGATCGGGTTGATGAGAGAAACAAATCCAGTGACACTCATATGTATGTAAGAGAGACCTTTATATCAAGAAGTAATTTTATATCAGGAAAATATCCCAGCCCAGTCAAACTCAAGTCCATAAATCTGATATGAGTCCTTACGTCCCTCTTCAGACTCATGCAGCCACATGCAATGGTAAAAAATTTAGGAAGATCACAGGCTGGTGGGTATAAAGTCTTGTGGATCTAATGGTCTGCAGAAGCATCACAGGGCTCTGGCAGGTCCCAGAGTGGCTCACCAGCAGTAAGGTGAAGACAGAGATGGTGAGATTCCCAGGGTCCTCCTTCTAAGGAGGCTGTGCCCAAAAGAGTCACCATCAGGCTGTCACCTGATTGACAGGCTAAACTCCACCCCTACACTTTCATATATCTTCAAATTGACATGAAATTACATTACTACCACACATGCTATGACATAGATGAACCTTGAAAACATATTTCTAAGTGAAATAATTTGGACACACAAAACAAATACTGTACAATATACAAGAAGGACATGCACTGAGAAAAAGTTAATTAGTAGTTATCATGGGCTTGGCGTCTCTAGGTAATAGAAAGTATTTGAGGCACTAAATACAAAAATGTTGGATGCTTGAGTTTACCTACGGGTATATCAGTTACAGTTATGGAGGCTTGGTTTACTAGGTTAAAAGACTATAGTCTCATGTGACAATTCAGTTAGCTGGCAAAACATAGTTTATAAAGATAATATCAACATTTAAGTTTGATGAATAATGCCATGTCTTAAAAGCTTGCAAGGGGCCTTCTAAGATACAACTACTACTCTACATATCTGGAACAAAAGATAATGAAGAAAATCAAAGACTCAAAGAAGAAACTAGTCCATAGGACTAAAGGCCACAAAATCCATGACCCCTTCTAGCCTGAGATCAGCAGAACTAGATGGTGTCCATCGACCACTACTGACAGGTCTGACCAGGGACTTGACAGATTCACTGGAAGAATAGAAGAAAACATAGAACAAAACTAAAAATCCTAAAATGTATCAGATTTACTGGATTAATAGTGACTAGAATAAACCCTAAGAGTATTTCTGAACTTGGGAACGACTCTTAGAGCTCATCTTTCAATCAAATAATAGATTAGCTTTAAAGTAAATAATATTATCCATGAGTAATATGCTTCCTTAAACAATATAAGACAAAATAGTCAACATTTACCTGAAAGCAAAGAGGGGCAAGGAAGTTAGAAAAGAAAAGAGTGAAAATAATGATAATGTTGACACATTTTGAAAACTGTAACTAATGGGACAGAGTAATTTGAATAAATTGTGTTAGATAGGAACCGGATTTTCTCTGTAAACTTTCATAGAAAATACAAGAAAAGAAAAGTAAATGCTGTAAAGCACAGTTCTACTCTGACATACAGAGTGTGTCATGAGTCAGGCTCACAATAAGTGGGGGTAGAATCCAGGGCAACAGGTTTTGAAGCCTTGGCGTGGTGCTGTTATTGTGTTTCCTGCTACCTGAAATTTTGGCGGTTTCATTCCACCCAGAGGCACCTTAAAAAAGACCTGATTATCTACTTTTAAAAATCAGCTTGAAAACCCTTTGGAGCATGAGATTGCCATGAGTCTTCATCTACTTGAAGGCAGCTGATGAGAAGTTATTTGTTTAGGGTAACTGAAGTTCTGTTTGAATTGGTGAAAATACGTTTGTTTTACAACATAGTGAGTATAATTAATGTCACTGAATTACACACTTAAAATGACTAAAGTAGCAATTTTTGTGTTATATATTTTATCAGTTGACATTTAAAAGAAAGAGTGTTGAGGGAAATTAAAATTTGAGAGAGGAGATTAAATGTCAAAATTCAAATAAAGTATATGCCCCTAGTATATTATAGTAGTTCATTTTTCCTGATAATGAAATAATTGCTGATGGCATAATCTTTAAAAATATAAAACTTAAAAACTAGTTGCTGTTGAGTCAATGCCAACTCATGGTGGTGGTCCATGTCATAGAGTTTCCAATGGCTGATTTTTTTCCCAGCTTCATCTGCAAAACAAAGAGAATCAAGCTCTCCCCTCCTGCTTTTAGGACTGAATTTTCTCTTTTGAAGTAAGTAAATACTCCTCTGCGTAAGTATATACTCATTATACTTGGCTGAGCACAGTAGAAAGCTACATACAATGCTATTTAAATTTTTTTATTGTAGAGAGCAGGAGAGAGACCCAGGAGAAAATGTCCACCTATCTTCCGGAGTAGACACATCTTGCCCAGGTGGAGAGTTATGGAGGCCTAGAGCCCTGTGGGAAGCTGGTACGATACCATTTCTTCAACTGTAGCTTCCATTGCAAGCTTAAACTGTGTAAAGATAGATGGGAAAATCAAGGGCCTATGTACAAACTAACATTTGCAAAGCGCTAAAGAAAATCAAGGGCGCCTGTGTGTATATCTAATGTTCTTGTATTTACATTTTTTACCTCCTTGTTTGGGTGATTTTGTCTTTGAACTATTGGATAGGTGAGAAGTGAGAGTTTGGAAGCAATTCAAAACAGGAAGAAAGGAAGACAATAGGGTAGAGACAAGCTCTGGTTTCTAGGTAAAGGGTTCCTAGAGTAAACTGGCTCTGTGCCTGTAGGCCCAATCCACCTCTATGGAGTAATCTCTAAGGTTTCACTAAATATTGACTAGATTGGCCATAGCATGTTCCTCCTTTTGTGGGAGCCACTCCTGTTCTGCGAGTCCCTGTCAGCGGTCAGAGCCACTAGTAGTCATTAGGAACGGGTACTCCTAAAGACCCTTTACCCTCACCCCCATTCCCGCGCCCTCAGGCATCAGTTTTGAGACCGGGTTTTGAAACAAAATCTGACAAGAGCCTCAAGGTGCTCTGGTAATATAGTCCTCAAATAAAGCTCCAGTAAAGCTTCTACCCTGGCACCTGAAACTCTGACCCAGGAAAGCCAGAGGTATTTAGGGGTAGGAATCCTCTAGGGCTAGACCAAGCTTCTATAGTGCTCACCCACGCTGCGCCAGCACTTGTTTCTCCAAAGCCAAACGCTTCTGCCCGCGGTAAGGGGAGTGGTAAAAAAAGAAAGGGGAGGAGAGGAAGAAAGGAGGTGGGAAGGCTGGAAGGCCGGCCCGGCGGGGGCGGGACCCGACTAGCAAACTGTTGCATTTTCTCTCCACCTCCCAGCGCCCCCTCCGAGATCCCCAGGATCCAGATTGCCGGGAGAGCTGGAAGGTCCGGAGCAAACCTGAAGGCTGAGGAGACTACGGAGATACAGCTACTGAGCTAACCGCCACAGTGCGGGACACTAGAGGAAGGGACACAACGCGCCAAACCCAGCCAGGCTTCAGCGACAGCCAACGCCTCTTGCAGTAAGGCAGCTTCGAAGCCGCCGCTCCCGAGCTGCCCTTTCCTCCGGTGAAGTTTTTGAAAGCTTCTACACTCAGAGGAAGCAAGGAAAGTATCGGGTAGGATTGGAGCCTGCCTTTGTCCTCTTTCTCTTCACCCCGCCTTACCCACCCCCACCCCCTCCCCAAGTCTCCTCTCTGGTGGCTGCCTCTGCCAGTTCCTCCCCTCCCGCCTCCACCTCCCCCCTCCACCAGAGCAGCGCGGCCAGCAGGAGTTTGCAGAGAGGTAACTCCCTTTGGCTTGGAGCGGGCGAGCTAGTTGCAAGTTGCAAAGACAGCTCTGGGATCCGGGCGACCTGGGGAGCAGCTCCAGCACTGCAGTCAGGGCCTGCCGGTTGGGCGGCACACGAAGTGGTAGTGTTGGTGCTCCTGGTTACCAGACACCACCTCCCCCCCTCCCCCCCACTTTTCCTGCCCTTTCACTCGCAGATCTCAGGACCAGAGATCAAAAGATGAAAAGGTAGTCAGGACTTCAGTAGGATAAAGCCCAATTAAACAACCAACCAAACAAACAAACAAACAAACAAAAGGCCTGCAGAAGAAAAACAAAACAACAGACAGTTCTTATTTGCACCTGCTTCAGTGGACACGGACTTTGGAAGAAGGACTGTACTGTTTCTTTTTCCTTCCCCCTCAAGATTTGAGCATCTTTCGAATCTACCCTCCAAATACCAGGGACAGATTGTGAACCTAGCAGGGACGATTGTGTCCAGCGTGTGTTTTCCTCTGCACAAGACTTTGAGGCTGTTAAAACAATTTTTCGTGGTTGTTCCTGCAAGTTTCCTTCCCAGAAGCTTCCAGCAGGTGGGCAGCTAGCTACAGCAGCTACCGCATTACAGCCTGTTGAACTCTTAGAAGCAAGAAAAGGGGAAGCCAGGTAAGGAAACTAGGCAGAAGATTCAACCAAACGCAAAGATGGAGGTGCAGTTAGGGCTGGGGAGGGTCTACCCTCGGCCACCGTCCAAGACTTATCGAGGAGCTTTCCAGAACCTGTTCCAGAGCGTGCGTGAAGTGATCCAGAATCCGGGCCCCAGACAATCTGAGGCTGCAAGCACAGCACCTCCTGGCACCCGTTTGAAGCAGCAGCAGCAGCAGCAGCAGCAGCAGCAGCAGCAGCAGCAGCAGCAGCGTGGTGAGGATGGCTCTCCCCAATCCCAGAGCAGAGGCCCCACAGGCTACCTGGCCCTGGACGAGGGGCAGCAGCCTTCAAAACACTCAGCCTCTGAGAGCCTTCATGAGAGCGGCAACGTCCCAGAGCCTAGAGCTGCCGCGGCCACTGGCCAGGGGCTGCCGCAGCAGCCACCAGCACCACCGGTGGAGGATGACTCAGCTGCCCCATCCACGTTGTCCCTGCTGGGCCCCACTTTCCCGGGCTTAAGCAGCTGCCCTGCCGATCTTAAAGACATCCTGAGTGAAGCCGGAACCATGCAACTCCTTCAACAGCAGCAGCAGGCGGTATCTGAAAGCAGCAGCAGCGGGAGAGTAAGGGAGGTCTCTGGGGCTCCCACCTCCTCTAAGGACAGTTATCTAGGGGCCACTTCTACCATCTCAGACAGTGCCAAGGAGTTGTGTAAGGCGGTGTCAGTGTCCATGGGCTTGGGGGTGGAGGCTCTGGAACATCTGAGTCCTGGTGAAAACCTTCGGGGGGATTGCATGTACGCCCCACTCCTGGGAGGTCCACTTGGTGCACGTCCCACTCCTTGTGCCCAGCTGGCTGAATGCAAAGGTTCTCTACTGGATGATGGCCCAGGCAAGAGTACAGAAGAGATTGCAGAGTATTCTCCTTTCAAGGGAGGCTATACCAAAGGTCTGGATAGCGAGAGCCTAGGCTGCTCTAGCAGCGGGGAAGCAGGGGGCTCCGGGACACTTGATCTGCCGTCCACCCTGTCACTCTACAAGTCAGGAACACTGGACGAAGTAGCAACGTACCAAAGCCGCGATTATTACAACTTTCCACTGGCCCTGGCTGGCCCGTCGCCGCTTCCACCACCTCACCATTCCCATGCCCGCATCAAGCTGGAGAACCCCCTGGACTATGGCAACACCTGGGCGTCCTCAGCCGCACAGTGCCGCTATGGAGATTTGGGAAGCCTACATGGTGGGGCTGCTGCAGGCTCTGGATCCGGTTCGCCCTCTGCAGCAGCATCCTCTTCCTGGCACACTCTATTCACAGCCGAAGAAGGCCAATTGTATGGGCCCTGTGGTGGCAGCGGTGGAGGCAGTGGAGCAGGCGTTGAGGCAGGGACCATAGCCCCCTATGGTTACACTCGGCCACCTCAGGGGCTGACTGGCCAGGAAAGTGACTTTCCTCAGCCTGATGTGTGGTATCCGGCTGGCGTTGTGAGCAGAGTGCCGTATCCCAGCTCCAGTTGTGTCAAAAGTGAGATGGGCCCCTGGATGGAAAGCTACTCCGGACCTTATGGGGACATGCGGTAAGTTCCCTCTTCCAAAAATGCCCTTTTTGAGCAAGAGCTACAAGGGTGGGTTTACTTTCTGTAATATATTTCCTCTCCTTGCTGCACAAACACTTCTATAACTCCTGAGAGACCTCAAGCTGCCTTAAAGTGGAGCTATCCTGGGTGGCTGCTCCAATTTTCCTGCTTGATGTGAGTCCCCACTAAGTGTTCCTAATCCTTGTTATGTGCCCTTTGTACAAGTGCAAGCCCTTCCAGGACTTTCCTGGACAATTGGGCTAGTCTCTTAAAATCCTTTCTACCTCTTTCATGGTACTCCACTCCTTGTGGGCTACAAATCCTTTATCCCCCAAATTTTATCTCCCAAATTTCACCCCAATCTTCTAATGTCAACAATAAATACAGACATTCTATTCTCATAGAATTTGCTCTCCAACCTGTAGTAGGCCTTCATGTAAGTTCAAAAAAAAAAACAAAAAAAAAAACGGGCCCAAAAGTTCCCAGCCCACCTCCTCCAAAGACGTGTTGGAGTGCTGGTGCTGTGTTAGGGAAAGTGGTATCTTGATTCTGCCAACAGCTGTGTGAAGGGGCGAACTCCCTTTCCTGGCAGTAGCTGGGGATTTGTTTCAGGGTAGGCTAAAGGAAAGAATCCAACCAAGAGTTCAAATGTAGGTAAAAATCAAAGGACATGTTTCTGGCAATCACTGGGCAGGATTTGTCCGCGCCGCATTGGTCAACTTTGTTGGAAGTAGTTGCTTGATTCGGTGTTGTCTTGTAAATGTTTATTTTTGCTGTGGATTTCAAAGATCCATAGCTTTCCGTTTGGATCAAATCTGTGTAGAGGATAACGTTTCTTTAATGAACAGTTTAACCAAGCTAGTGTCTGACTTATCACAGACAGTGGTGGGAAAACATTTTTGCTTTGTTTAAGAATTTCCTGCTATTTTAGTGTGTTCAGAAATCTGCTTCAAGGAGGGAAGAGTGCAGTGCTTCAATAAATGCCTTCATTTTGAGACATACCTGCATTTTACAACATCAGCTCTTATCACTAACAAATGGAATAAGAACTCTTAGTGACCTGTAATCTGTTGTCTTGACCCAGAATTGTAATCAGGGCAAAAATTCTTCCTTATAGTTGTTGAGCTTGTTTTGTCTTTGGCCCTCCAAGCCAACACATTAAGATTCTCATTTTTCTCCATTAGGGAGAAAGTATTGACTGGGAAACTAGCTACTCAGGTGTTGATGTGCCTTTGGAATTGTGTCATGCTCTGTGTTTCTATAGCTATGTTGCTATAGCTGTGTTTCTTTTATTAAGACTTTTCCAAAATTTCTTAATGATCATGTTTTGTGACTTAAATTCAGCCTCCATTCCAGTAAATTTTGCCTCCATTCACTGGTTCATCACACAGTGTTGGAAAAGAGGATTCCATAAAACATTATTGTATGGGATGTTGAATAAACAGCCTCTTACTAGGCTTTACATTTTATTAGATTTTAATAGTTTAAAGGTTTTTCAGATTTCATTTAATATTGCCAAGTATTTTTCAGCTAATTTGGAGTGCTTATTTTTGTGATGGAGTTATGCCTTACAACATAAAAGTCTTCATTTTCTAAGAACAGTTTTACTTGGTAAGGCTGTTTTATTTCCTGGGTCTGTCTAGTCAGAAGTGCCTTCTACTGTGAACTTTTCAAGGAAGTGGGGAAATACCTGAGGTGCTCTGAGCCTACTACTCTTATTATGTTATGCAAAACCCAGACACTAAAACCCAAATGTTAATGGAGAAGAAAGAAATGACTATGCATGTTAAAGGATTCCTGTGTGTCTTGAAAGACAAAACCAAACATTTTCAGGGAATGACTATGGAGCCCAAAATGTTCCCCTCAGGTGTGCACATTTTATTCCAGGTCTTAATTTAAAAACTTTATTTGAAAGACTATGATTCCTCAATGTCTCATCTCTTTGGCACGTTGCTTAAATTTAGGACCCAAAGAAAGTGCAAGATTATTTAACCTTTCATTTATGATTCAAAGAAGAATGATGAGATTTTCTGCACCCATAAAGATTTACAGTCCAAATCCCCAAGGAACATTTTTACTCAACCCTAGAGGGTCACTATGGATTGGAATCAACTTGATGGTAGTAGAAGAGGTTTGTGGGTTTGTGATTGCTGCATTGGTTCTGAAAAGGAAAAAAAATGGTGCTCCCTTCTTGTTAGTTGATAAAGAATTTCCGTTTTTAGGTTATAAAAAACCTTTGAGTAAGTTTATTTATTGAAAACTGATCAATTTCATCAGAATGTAACCACTTCTTGTTGGCATTTTCTTACTTTGCTTTCTCTTTCTTTCTCTCACTTTATATGGGCACAGTTTGATATAAAGGAAAGGGATTTTTTTTTGTGCTAAAGCCAGAGTTTCCTTCATCTGTATCACATGCATACATTATGTACTAGATTTGAGCTAAAAATCTTAAATTCTTGAGGCTTTCACCTGTTGGTGTCCTCTGTTTTCCAACTGAATATTTGTGCAAATTAGTTAATATTGTTTGAGGATTATTTTTTTTAATTTCAGTAACTTCTGGAATAATTGCTTTCTTAAAACATCCGTGATGTTTCTGCTGAGATAAGGACAGAGTTCTTGAATGCAGTCCTTGCTTACAAAGTGAGCAAGGACACAATCCCTGATTGTGTCTATTTTATGGATGAACCGTTTTGGAAATTTCTTCTCTCGTAGATCAAATGTGACTACAACTTTTTTTAACTGACTACTGGGTCACTTATATCAGCAAGCAACACAGTTATATATCAAACATTTACTCTGTATAGGAATTAGATGGGCATTTAGAGAGATTATCCAGATGAAAAATTAATATTTAAATTTTTCTCATGGGGTTTTCTTCTGATCTCCATAATAGAATGTTAGGAGTGTTCAGGAGGGCTCTCAATTTTAGGAGCTTGTCACAGTCTGCCTTTTTTGAGGAGTTTGTTTTTGTAAAGCACGTTTTGTTTTGGGACCAAGAAAGAGTGATGTTCTCTGTCTTCAGGCCGATAGGGTTAGTATGTTTGGAAGACACATCTTTGTGTGTGTGTGTGGTCAGCAAGTAGTAGGTGAGTTCTTTCTGGGTCCCAGTAATCAGATCCTGAGGACTGATCACACTTAATTGTATCTCTTTTCGGAGTATTGATAGAATGCAGCAATTGATGGCCCTTAGGCTTTCTACTCTCATAAAGACTTACAGTCTTGGAGACCCACGTAGGCAATTCTACCCTATCCTGTCGGGTGGATATGTGCCGGAAGGCTTCGATGGCAGTGAGTTTAGTTTTGATCTTGCTTATTCACAGAATATCTTTCTTAGTTGGACCAAAGATTGATGGTAATGAAATATTTTTTTCAATAAACCATGTCGGCTCACTTTGGGATGCTTTCTTGTACGTGTTAATTTTACTTCATCAGATGTACATTCTTTGAGCAACTTTGAAATGACATAATAAGTTTCTTGGCACATTTCTTTGCTAAATGTTTTCCCTTCAATTAGTGATGTCCTTTTCTGGTATATATACATATATATGCATTTAAAACCAAAAAGCTTAAGGTCTCCTGACTCAAATATATTGTGGCTGCTCTTTGTAGGATTATGTGAGATGGAGTTGGGGACATGGGTAATTTATATTGTTGTTGTTATAAGTATTATTATTGTGATGTCAAGGCCCCCAGTTTCATCTGGAACCCTGTTCAAGCATAGTAAAACAAGGGGTTTATTTTATGCCAAAGTTGAAATCATGATTCTGAAAAATGAAAAGCAAACATAAATCAAGTTTTGCGGGACTGAACTGAGAGGCAAAAGGAAATGTCTTCCCATCCACCATTTCTCTTTGTCTACAGCTTTCTCAAGTACTTCTTGTCCTTGGTTGTCTTTCATTTTACTCTTTTCAAGCTTTTGGCATTCAAGGGTAGGCTTTTTCTACTTCTCAGGCTATTTTTCTTATCACACCTGTGGCAAGCTCTTAATAATTTTTTTTTTCAATTCGATCAGTTCAACCATAGCACTTTTTTTTTAAAGACAAGGTGACTTCTGAAGATTACAAATTGAATAATGGGGAATTTTTTTCCCTTGAAGTTAGAACTTCATCCAACAATTGAGAGATGACATGTGGATCTCTCATTTTAATGAAGTCCTTTTCAGGAGCTCTGGTGGTACAGTGGGTTAGCCATTGGACGTTTAACAGTAAGGTTAGCAGCTCAAAACCACCAGCTGCTCTGTAGGAGAAAGATGAGGATTTCTACTCCTGTAGAGAATTACAATCTCAGAAATCCACAGGGAACTCCTTCTCTGTCATAAAGCCATTATGAGTCAGAATTGACTCAATGACAGTGAATGAGTTTGCCGGTTAAGGTCCCTGCTTCACTCTGTTCACTAATCATCTGGATAACCTGAGAATACTGGACCCTTTCCCCTCAGAGAAAACCCTGTCTTGATCAGACTCAGGCATTATGATATCAAAGAAGTACTCAACCTGTATGTGAGAGTGCTCAGTGAAGACTTCTGGATAGGCTAATCTCTTATGCTACATGTACATTTTTAAACAAAGAGAGAAATTAAAGAAATGAATCTCCTTCAGATTTTCCTTTCAATAGTCCATCAAATTCTGTGATGCTGAATTCAGAGTAAGTAATCTTCATCCTAAACACAGAAATGACTTTAAAAAAAATCACCTGTGAAGTTCTTTTCAGTTAGCAGTGCTTGGTTGGCTTTTTATATAGAGGAAAATTATGAAATCTTATATTTATATAGCACCCCTTTTAAAGGTAAGACCCAGGGCCTTCTTACTTATTTACTAGCATGTATGGAAGTTTGAGGAGGCTTGTAGAGGGCTTAGTGATTTCTTCATTGCTAATTGAAGAATACACTAGTTGCATTTTCAGTAACATCTGTTTGCCACTTGGGGAACCATCTCTAGAGCAGAACTTCTAAACATTTTTGTTGAAAGTAACTACCTGAAAGATAGATAATGTTTTAGATT